ATTAACATTCAACCTTGCCCTGGAAGCCATCTTACCAGTAGTTTGATTGCTGGAAGTGAACACATTTTCTCATCCTTTAAAGAATCTGCTGGAAGATTTTGATGATATCGTGATGACAGTTGGCAGTGGAGGATCTGCAGCAGGAATTTCCATGGCTAATTATCTGACAGGTTCAAAACTCAAGTGAGCTGTGAATTTTCTCTTGAAAGATCTAAACTTGTAGCTGCTATAGAATTCATGAGAACTGTTGATTTGTTTTAGATATTGATTACATAGATAATAATAGTCAAATAAAGAAGAGTAGTCTTCATATTATGTTGTTTCAGAGAGTGCAATCTCATCATAGACTGGTAAAACATGAAAATATTTCCTCCATATCATAGTGTGTTGGTTTTTAGCTCTATGATTGAAGAGCACCCAAACGTGTGCACCAATTCAATTTAAAGTTAATCAAGTCTACCATATTATGTAAATTAATTAGAGTGTTCATGTACCTACTGGTTAAGAACGGTGAATATGACAAGGAGGATGATGATAGTGATGGTGTAATGATATAGTGATATCAAAATCCTTTAGCATTATTATCCTGCTGATACTGTCTATGGGAGTTCTACACTTTGCTGCTCTTTGATCCACTAGAATATAATTTGCTTAATTTTGCTTTTCCCATGTGAATGTAGATGCCATGCAGTAAATGTGTATGATGACGATGCATATGTATACAGCAAGATAAATGAAGAACTTCAAGAAGCTGGGCTCTCTGTGCAAGCAGAAGAAATAATTGATGTCATGGGCGGACATCATTTGCCAGGATATGGAAGACCCTCACAAGAAGATCTAGGTAATTACTCTTCCTCTTTAGAGTACCGTTGTTGAAGAAGTAATGATTAGCATGAAACCTTGATCTCCTCTGTTTTAATCCAGCTCCCTTAACATTGACTCCAGATCATGGCCAGCCTAAAAAGGCCAACTTAGAATGGCCAGGGAATCTACCTGGTTCAAAACTTTGGCCATGTTAAAGTACTCCATACATTGTTAATCGTAATATTTCAGTGCATTAACGTTGTGCTATTATTTAAAAGTAACTTATATTTTCAATTTCTTACATTTCCTTTTGTGGAAAATGCAATATTTATAAACTTTTCTTGCAGAATACATTTTAGAGATTTCCAGTTCTACCGGAGTGTTGATTGACCCAGTGTACAACATAAAGACAGTCAGAGGAATGCTGGCTGAGATGACCAACAATCCCGAGAGATTTCAAGGAAATAGGATACTCTACATTCATACTGGTATGAGACATTTTTTATGAGTTTGATGATAGCCCTAAACAGTCTTAACAGATTGTACCTGTAGTGAAACTTACTACAGATGACCATAAATGATTGCCAGAACCTCTCCAGATTCCTGGAGCATGAAATGACTACTTGAGGAGTTATTTTTTCTTATCCTGGGTGGGCTGCCATAACAGGTTTCCCCTCCTCCTTCTTTCCTTCCCTTTCAGATCCCTTGATCAGATTCCCTTGACAATTTGCCAATTTCAATTTACAATGATGAGTACCTCAATAGAAGGGACACTTTTGTAGTTGAGGCGCTAATTGGCGCTAATCGTAACGTTAATGGGAATGGATTGGTCAACGAAAAACCATATTTATAATGGTAATAGGACCGTCAGTGGACTCCTATTCGGAGTGTAATCCCGCGAAGCGGGAATCCGATTTGTTAATCACGAGTATTATTACAGACAGAATTGGACGAGATGAAGTTCTGTTACCAGTCAATAAAAACTGTGACATCAATTTGAGAAAGAAACTAGAGATCATGTATAGTTTTTCATAAAAAAAAAACAGTTAACTCGGCGAAATGCGAGACAACAGCGCGCGCACATGACGCTTTCTGTCCACTTACACAGACATGACGTGTTAACTGTCCCTATAACTTTCCTATTACACTGTCCAATTACAAGCATGATGCATACACTGTCCTATTAGTGCTTTAATCATAACCGTTACAATTTCCTCAAATGTGATTGGTGCATTAGCTGCTTTATTTTTCACTAATTATTCTGTACAGTTGTTATCGGACAGTTAAAGCGGCCAATCATACTAAGTCCACTCAGCTAAATCCACCAATCATAGCACTGATCACAATAACCATAACAACAACCACTAATCCTAAAAAAGACAGGGGAATCTCTACCGGAGATGTTCGTCCTAACTGTATTTTTTTTCTTTTCGGAAATTGCAACAGTTATGATTAACCGGGTAACAGGACTTTGTATCGTCCAATTCTGTTTGTAATCATACTCGCAATTAACAAATCAGACTCCCGCTTCGCGGTCGTCCGATTTTGTTAGTCACTCGTATGATTACAGACCGAATTGGACTCCACTCGGTCCTATTACCATTATTTAGTGATAACACAATACTCATGTCAAGGACACTCGAAGTCTCAGGTAATTGTCATGTATGACCGCGATGCATGATTTCTAAGGATAATGTGTCAAGTTCGCACGCTTTGTGGTGCTTGCTGATTTATTATTTTTCCACGTTTAGAAACAAATTACTAGTTCCACTTACTGTCGTGACCATTTTCTTTTCCTTCAAGGTAAGGGTTATCAACCGAAGTCGAAGGCTGAGGCTGATAACCCCTACCTCAACCTTGATTATTCTGGATATCACAAAAACCTCATCCAATAATTGTTTATAAATCGGGCTGGTGAAAACCAATCACGCTCGAAATTTTTTTTAGTTTTAATTAACAAATTAATTGACTGAGGTAATCTGTCGTATTACTATTTTCAATGATTTTTTTTTGTTCGTTAATAAGGTGGATGTTTTGGTTTATTTAATGGAGGAGTTGAATCTTTACTGACAAGTTCACGAGGCACACAATGTATCAATGAGATTCTGTCCTGGAGAAACATCAACGATCCTCTGCCGATCTGATTGTAATTAATCAAAGAAGCTTTACGTCATGATATATGGTTTTTATTGGATATAATTTGTAGTCAATTTCATTCCTAATTAAGAGTAACTATTTTTTAGGCCGATAATAGTGTAAGAAACATTGTTTAGGTTCATAGTCAGGCTCGCATCAGTTATACCATTATTAAGTTAAAGCGTGTTTTTTGCGCTCCTTAACTCACAAGTTACACGCCAAACAACTTGCATTCCATCACGTACCATGGAAACAACGTCCAAAGTCCAATCAGAACATACCCAATCGTGGCACTACATGAACATTAGGCAATTTTTCATGTGCTTGGATTGTATTCCAGCAATTAAATTCTATCTTGTCAAATTAGACTTCGCTCCATCCTTGTAAACAACCTGCATTCAGTCACGTATTCGAACCGCAGTGCACCGACCACTGGAGCCCGGAGCCCAGTGCACTGACCACTGGACTATTGGACAAAGCCGTGGCGTTGGCGTACCCGCGGTACAGTTGATCACGCATGTTAAAAGTATCACCTTGTACGGTCG